GCGTCCAGTCTCTTTTGGAAGTTCGGTTGATCGACCCATCTCTGATCCCATGCATTAAGTTCAATTAGAACTTCGCAATCCTGAATCATTTCCTCACGACGGTCCTCCATAGATCTCTCAGCAATGGTCCGGTACAGCTGCAGAAGAGTCTTGCGAGCGGGTACGTCCGATACGAGGCCAATCAACGGTGCAATGGAACGCAGATGAATCTCCGGCTTATTTACAATTTTTATGAGGTTCGTGATGGTTATTAGTAATCCTATAACAGCTTCCTCGTTATTACCAGATGCAGCTTTCTTGATTAACACGGGTATTATCAACTTCAATACCGTATCGCACGTCTCGGCATCCGTGACAAATTCGGAGATTCGCGACAGTATGGTCAGCTCGATCTTATTTATATTCTTATTGGATCTTTTAAGTCTATCTCTGATAAACTCCAGAACATGAGGAACGTGCGGCAGAAGTATAGCGGAGCCATAATTGACTCCGTTTGAAAGTATCTTCTCTTCCACTTCGAGCATATTAGTAAGTATTGGAGTTAATGGTAGAAATTGCGCGTCCATCTGCATCGCATCTTCGTTGGATTTTCCGTAATCCTGCAGCGTCAGCATCTTCTCGATCATCTCCAGAATGGCATTAATGACGGATTGATGTGTCTTGGGATTCAACAGGAGTTGCATGATGTAAGGGAGAGGAGTGATCGACTTGTTGTCCTTCTGATACTTGATAAACAACGGATAGTATCGCGAGTTCTGGCTCCATGCCATAAACAGTTTCAGCAAAACCGTAGGACTGTGTATACCCTCGATAGGTAATTTCTGCAATAAGGGAAATATCACGTGATAGACTGCATCTATCTCATGTTGTTTCCAGTCATAGTTCTCAAAGTGTGTAAAGAATCTGGCCAGTATACCGACACAACTTGTCTTCACATTCTTGATCATTGACAAGTATCCCGGATAAACCTCCTCCGATCTCCGCAGAATTCCATTCACCTCAGCCAAGATGCAGATTAGAATCCTGAGCAAACAGGGCAGTAACTTCTTCGACATTTTCCCGCCAAATTGTTCTATTACTATCGCCAACAGATTCACGGCACTCTGCATACGTTTAGGTGGCATGACATTATTCAGGTCGATGGTATCGATGATGTTCTCAGTATATTTCTTCAAATCGAATGCCTCATCCATTTCCAGAGATATATATGACTTGAAAGGTCTGAATGCCATTTTTATGAATATGATCATCTCGTCTTCCTGTGCACCGCCTAGAAAGCGCAATATGATTTTTCTCCGTGCAAATCCACCGGTTTTTCCACCGGTCCTCATGCCGGTCTTCATAATCATTTTGGCGTAAATAATTCTCATTATGATCGGTATGAGATTTTCACGATGTTCTTCTTCTATCATATTGCTCTCCCGATCCAGTTTGAAACGCGTGAGTTCATTTTTATAATTTTTCTCATTTATTAAACTATACAAGGACTCCTTGTATGGCAAAAGATACTTGTACTTGTATGCAAAGAGACAATTCAGAGCGACTCTTTGTATGTCGAAGTTTCTCGAAGAAATCAAATCCAGATAGATCTGATGCATCTCCGCTTCTCTGTGCATCATTTTCGGATTCTGCACTTTATCGAATATCTCCATCTGAGCGAGTAAAAGTTTTACCTTATAATTTCTTTTCATCACATCCATTTGCGCAATTTTTATGATCTCATCACGCTCTTCATCACTTTCGTTCTCGTCGTCCGTATCATTATCCGCGTCGATTAATTCCTTGCGTTTTTCAACATCGCAATATTTGCCTTCGTCGGAATTAGATCTAAAAAAATTTGCATTTACAAAATCAATGAATAATCCGGTTAAATCTCTATTTTTCGTCTCGGCGTAATGTGAGAAATGTGCCATACATTTCCAGAGGAGAATCCTATAATTTTCGAAATCAAGCTTATCGTCGTGTTTTTCTATCAACATCTCCAACGACGAAATCACATAGCAATCAAATGACGGCTTCCGTTCAATCTTCGGTACATTGTTACATGTTAACTCGGATAGAAATGTTGGCCAGAACTGTGGACATTCCTTGTTGCCATAACTAGCTATGATTATACTCACAGGTTGCCAAAGTAGAGAAAAATTGATATACAAATTGCTCATCAAGCAACGTAACGGAAATTCGTAATACTTAGGATTTAGATTAGCTATCGCATGACTCTGAAATCCTAAAGCTTGCAAATGCAATAACTTGCTGCGATAGTTTTGTATCGTTACGGATTCACATTCCACTAAATATACAAGCTCCATAGCACTTTTTCCGTCAGACATCTGAAGAGGTTCACCAGGTCTTTTCAAATCTTCGACTTTAGAAAATAAGGAATATAAGTGTGCCACGATCATTCGAACATTGCTATAAGGTGAACTAAATTTCTTCCCTATTTTGTCGTTTAACTTGTTAAACGACGCTAAATTTATATAATCTGAGTGGTGCTGCGACGCAGCAAAATATGTTATACAGAGATCTATCGCATTTAAGATATATGTATTGTCATAATGTTTGTTAATTAAATCAACTATTTTTATGTCAGATTTTACCAAAAACTCGTGGAGATTGCTTGGCTCTAACACATGGATTAACGATTCCAGCGTTAATAAAAATACAAAAGCGGTTTTATTAATGTCTGCAGTGTCATCTGCATCATCATGATTCAATATCTTTTTATATAAAAATAACAAGCCATTTTTCAACATATTCATAAGTTCCTCATGCAACGGCTTCAGATGTGGTAAAATTACTAAAATTCTCAGTGCGTCAAGCGAAATAGTATCAGTAGATAATGTTTTCAATTCTAGTAAGAGATAATCAATTTCAATGTTTCGTATATCTAAAATGTATTTTCTCCATTTGTCCAAAGTTATACCACTGAGACAGGGTGATGCTTTCGTGAGAATTATTTTAGCAAGTAGAAGCAGTAGCTTATTGTCAAATCCAATAGATATGCTGCGCTGCATTAAGTAAGGCAATACCAAAACTTCGAACGAAGAGTAATGTATTAAATTTTCAACAGAGGAGTATAATAATTCCATGTCATTCACTGTCATAATTTTCAGTACTAATTGACTCGAATTTTCCTGCATTAACTTGACATTGGATGCCAAGAGAATAGCTACGGATACATTGATAACTTCTTGCAAAATATTATTGTCGTCACTCAATCTGTCCATTATGATGATGATTCTTTTTGTTATGGATACAGCATCGATTAAAAACCTTCCATTTTTACAGCTGATAATACCATGTATAAGACGCAGGAATAGAACTAAAGTGTGTTTCTTTTCAGAGAATTTTAACAACTGCTTTGACATTTCAACAAACGTGTCTATTATTTTTAGTATAACATTCCACATGATATTGCATTTTTGTGGATGTATGTTTTGCAATATGCACATTATAATTTCTCGTAATACTTCGTAAGTAAGAGTTTTATCAATAGTCTCATCTTGTAGAGCGTTGAAATAAAGCAGTAACATCTGTTCGCTGCAGGAATGGAACTGCCCTGGAGTACCAGATATAACTTCAAACAATAACTTTGCACAACCCGATACTCCATTTTCCTTGGCATTTTTATTTCTATCCTCCAAAATATGTAATACCAGTTTCAGAAAAGAATCTTTATCCTTGATCTTGCGAACTACAAATGCAAAACTTTCGGCAGCAAACCTGTTTATATAAACTGGCTGTGTGTCAGCTAACAATGGTAACAATAGGGGCATTACAGTTTTTATATTTCTTGTCAAATATCGCCATAGAAATTTAAACAAATATGCCAAAGTGGTAAATGTATACTCTATTTGTTCAACGTCTTTCGTTTGCAGTAAGCAGATTATTTCGGATAGAAATTCTGGGAAATAATCGTAAAACTCTTTCTGAAGATCTCTCGCTACAGCAATTATTAATCTATGAGAAACAGAGAATAGAAATAACAAAAAAATCTTTTCATGCATTTATCCATATGTATCTAAGTCTGTTCTTTTTAACTGAGAACCTGTTACAGTTTTTGAAACAAGGTGAAAATTACAAAAGTGATTACATTTACTAAAATATTTATAACTTTACTCAATATAATTTCACCCAGTAAACTCATTTTTATAATTTTTATCTAATTTCAATCATAAGAAGACCTGTCATAAGGCCTAAACTTTTTGTATCAAATTTCTTCAACTTTTCTTTTTTTTTTCTGTGTGAAGAGAAAAGGAGGAAAGATAAACTATACAAGAAATTCAGCTGAAAGAACAGACCTTCAGTGTGACCTACTTACTCCAGGATTGGTTGCAGGAACAAAGGATCTCGTTTCCTCAGATACAACATAAGCGTATCGATCACATGCTGTTTCTTGTGAAGCAATTGGGGCAACGTGATGATGTCTTGCACTTCCTTTCTGAAGGCGGTATAACCGTCCGTTAGATTGAGTACGTTCCATTTCAGTAGTGTCTCGTGAAAATAGGTCTCAATCTCCTCGATCTCGTCCTCGTTCCGATGTGCTACACGGTGAAAGACATCGACGTCGATTTCCGTTATCCTCTCGGAGAATGGCTTGAACTGCGGAAGAAAACCCGGTTTCAGAGCTACGTGCGAACTTAACCTCACGCTGCCTGTCGACTTTACTCACCCGAAAGACGTTCACTTCTTTATGACGAATTGGCTTGTTCTTCATTCTAATGGATTGTCTTGATGCACGTAAATCAAATCAATACATCATTTATCTCATCTAAATTAAGAATTACATCAAAGAAGCCAAATTGTAGTTTTGTGTCTACATCCCACGTGCAAATCAAACTTCAAAGAAAATACTAGCGCCTCCATGTACATAAAGTGTAACTGAAACTACTCACAAATATTTTCGGCTGATAACATATCGACGGACTTCAATTCGTCCTGTGTTACCTACGTTATTTGATTCTATTACGTGCTATGTCTACTAATGTCTCCTCACCTCACCCCTATTTTCTACTGAATATACTCCATCAGGCTTGCCGCCAATGTGACAAACTGTCAATGTTGTTATGAACAAATCTTATTTTCATACTACAAGTTTGAAACACGGCGTGTTCTCGTTCTCGTCCTACCCGACGACAACGTGGAAAAAATGACAGGATCTGTAACCGAACTGAAAAGTGTGGTCTAAATATTAATTGTAAGGTATACCTTCGAACAAATCAATGACATAAATGCGCTCGGCTATCAGCGTTATCCTGTCGAGTCCGGTACCCGACAACAAGATGTCCCATCCCGATTACGAGCAGACCGCTCACGATCATGCCGCTCTGCTGCTGCTGCTGAGGCCAGTCGGCACGCAGATCAAACCGAAGACGGTCAGTAGGTTATGTGAGCGGATCGTCAAGGCTGGCAGCAGGTTTTCCGTATCTGATTCCAGCGGCGGCACCCGGGAGATCCTCGCCCGATTTGTCAGAGAGCATCCCGTGGAAAACAATGACTGGGGAGACTTTCAGACACATAGGAGACTCCTAGGTTTGATCACATTTGGCAAGTATGACAATCAGACGGAGCTGAATGAGCTGTGCAGATTACACGAGACTCTAAAGGTGAAGTATAGCAGTACCCTGTATGATTCACGAGCCATCCTCTTTGGTCCCCTTGAATCAAACGGCCGTCATGAACCGCCACCAGGCTACACTACGCCCAGCAACTTCAAAACGCGGGCGATATTTTATGCAGATGAAGCATGTCCTGATCTCGAGACACAAACAGCTGAATATCTCAATTTTCTATTCTGGATCCTGGAATCGAAAAGATTAGAGCGATCCAGAGAGAAGATAGATCGTGTCTCTCTTCTGTTAGCTCCATTTGAAAAGAAAGATTTTATTGGGCTAGACCTCGAATCCAGAAATAATAAAAAAAGATGTGTGGGCCGTATGACAAAGCATTTGGGAGATCTGTGTCTTCAAGCTGGACTTCCAGCTGATGCCTTGAATAATTATAATTCTGCAGCCAACATTCTGCAGGCTGTCAATGACTGGCTGTGGCTGGGAGCAGCATATGAAGGTCTCTGTGCTGCTTCAGTCTTAGTTCTTTATCCTAATATGTGTCGAAGTCTTCCATTGCAAAGAAATTCTTCCTTACAAGAAGGAAGTCCAAGTAAGCAAAGGTATGGATAATTTCTCAAAGAATTATATGATACTATATATATATATATATATATATATATATACATATATAGTTAAAATGTTAAGACATCTATGTTTTTATTAGAAGATCTGATTTAAGGATCGAAATTAATAAATCAATCATTTATCATTTTATAGACGAGGATCACAAGCTCTTACAGTTTTACCAGCTCCACCTAGTATAGACATGGTAAAGGCCAGCATGCCACATATTTTATTACCTGAGGAAATATCTAAGAAATATCGTGAAGCTATAGTACATTATAGTAAATACCAATACGCAGGTATAATTGAAACTGAAGCTAGTTTCAAAGCTACAAGAATCTCAATAGAACAGAATTGCACCTTACAAGCTGCATCATATTTAAATAATGTTATATTGATTAATTTGTCTCTCAGCGAACAAGAAAAAGTATGTAATATTAAGATAATGCAGGAAATTTCAACATATAAAATTTATCAAGGTGTTATATAGATCAATATTTCAGATTGATCGATTTACTACATTATCAAATTTATATACGAGCTTTGGTTTTGATAGAAAAGCGTCATTCTGTTTACGATTGGCTGCCACTCGTCATGTATCCCAAAATAATCCTAATCCGGACTGGCAACAATGTTACAATTTGATGTTGCAAGCTATATCTGGATTTAAATTATCTTTAGATCCTGTTGATATGCCACCAGGTAACTGCAATGATTTAATATAAATTTATATTTTATATTTTCCTGTTTATTATACATATTTTTTAAAATAAATATATAAATGTGTGTTAAATTTTTTTCCAAATGTTAATGAAATACTTTCTAATATTATTTTATTTTTTGTTTCGATTGTTTTGTAATATTTAAAATCATATTGTTTTCTTATAGATGGACAAAGAGGGTGGCCAGCCCTACAGATCCAAATAATAAATGAACTTGTTGCTGCTGCAAATCGAATGGGTAATCCGGCACTTGCTACAAGGCATTTAACGTTTTTGCTCCAGACAATGTACAATCATCTAACGCTTACCGAACGAAAAGATATAGCACTACAGTTACAAAATGTATCTCAACAGTGCGAGGGTGCACCAGTCCCCCTAGTATGTTAAAAAAAAATTATAATATATAAATAATTATATATGTCTCACATACATAAAATGTTTTTTGTAACAGGTTTTAGATTCTGGTACGGTCATACCTCCGGCTAATTTATTAAATATACCAAAAACAAAATTGTTTACTCTGAAAAACATGCAGCCACACTTACAGCCTCAAAAAATAGAAAGAGTAAAAGAAGATCATGGTCCTTTTTTATTTACGCCAATTAACTTCGGATCATTAGAACGCAAGAATATTTCAAAGAGTAAAGTTGGTACGTGTATACCTAAACATTGATTATTACTATCAACATTATATTTAATATTTCTAAGAATAAATTTTTTGTTATAACAGATTATTTGTGGGTGGAAGGAGATATCTGTGAAGTGTCAATGCAGCTCATAAATCCTTTACCATTTGAATTACACGTATCTAACATGAGACTTTTAACAAATGGTATAGTATTTGAATCGATACCAGAGAGTATTAATCTGCCTGCTGAATCTAGTCCGATTGCGGTTACGTTAGCAGGCAGACCCAAGGAAGTTGGAGATTTAGAAATACTCGGATTTAGCACTCATACATTAGGAGTTAAATCTAACTGTAGATTGAGATACATGGAGAGTATGTTACATCCTCAATATACCGTCGAAGTCATTCCAGCCTTACCAAGAATCGATGTCGCGACTAGTTTGCCTCAAACTGCCAGTTTCAGTTCCGGTGATAATATAGTTACTAGCGCGAGTATATCACTCTATGGCGGTGAGAGGTTTGTGTCTACTATAAGCATTATATACAATTTTTTTATCAATATATAATTATTATGCAAAATGATTTCGCTTACATTTACAGCGCTGAATGTACTGTGACAATAACGAATGCTGGACAAGTTCCTATTGAAATGATTGAGTTATCAGTACAGTCTGCTTTGGATACTCTAACTGAAAGTAAAATTTTTAAGTGGAGTGATGAGAATCTGATGACACAATTGCCTTTACAACCTGGCAGCAGTGCAAGTCTTACCTTATATCTATACGCAGCAACAGATTTTGTAGCACCTTCAATTAGAAATGGTAATATAATTAATTTTATATATATATATATATATATATATATATATATATAGAGTAATACAATTTTTTAAATTTAGTGTCTTCTCTTTTTTTTTCAAAAACCTTTTTTTAGATGTTATTAGCAGTCCCTGCCTTTGTC